CATTTGAGGATGTTCTTCACAAAAACAAGAGAGTAAACCAACAAAGAAGAAGACATTTTTAGAAAACAAGAGACTGGACCCAGAGAAAAGGAAACAGAAATATCAAGTAGAGGGTTAAAGGAAATCTCAGACAAACAATGGTTCAGATCAAGTCTTCCACAAGTACAAGTCAATAGGTAAAGTTTAAAATGGAATAATTAGGAAATGGGATCATAGAAGTAGAACAATGCCATTGGTTGATAAATAGTGAAAAAAAAACAGCTGAAAGAATTGACTGGGCCTTGAAAAGAGTGAGGTGAGGACTCTCATTAGAAGTCTTGCAATACGTTTAAATATTTTAAACTATATATATATATATTAAATATTTTTATTAAACTATATAAAGCATTTAATAGGGCAACAATAACCGTAGCTTCACAGGGTTGTTATGAGAATTAGTGTCACAGAGGATTCATGTGTAAAGAACACTGAATAGTACTGCTATCAGTTTTACTTATAGTAGCTTAATTAAATTTCATTATTATTATTTTATGTTCATTATTAATATCAGCAAAATTAGTGCCTTCTCCACACCACCACCCTCAAACACACACATAAAAGTGTCACAGCTCACCCTCATGGCAAGTTTTGTCCAGACTTGCAATCTGTAGTCTTGCTGTGGGAGGTCAGAGTTGATCAACTCCTAACGGTGTTGCCCAATGTCATGTCCAATCCTTTATTATACTTTCCCCTCCCACTCCACCCTCCAAGACTGTGGCCAAAGTTGGTCTCCTCACTCCAGAGTAACTCCAAGTTCCACCCATGTCCACTGCCTGCTCAGGGTTCTGATCTGGTAAGTCTGCCAGCCCCTAAGGACCATCTGGGTTTATGCCTAGAGAATGGACAACCTAGGGCTGCTTTTGTTACTAAGTAAAAAAAAAAGTTCCAAAGGCAATTCTCAAGTTCAAGAATCTGTGTTAAGAAGAATTTAATAATATCACAGAATAAACATCAGAAGTCCTCTCAGCTGTGACTTTCATTGATGGAAATTTTGTCTGTTGCTCTTATGTAATTTTGGTACTAAGCTTAAGGATATGTCTTGTAGCTTTATTACTATCAGTTTACTGATAGCAGATTTAGCATCTCTTCTCTGAGTTGTCTAAAAATCACTGTTGTTGTACAGGTTGAGTTGGAATCAACCTATTTTCCAGTAGGTTTTCAGAGGTAATTAAATCATGGGAAAAGATAGCCCAGCCTTTTTCCATGCAGCAGCTGGGGGATTTAAACTGTGTGCCTTCAGGGTTGCAGTGCAACTTCTTACCACTATGCCACTAGAGCTCCCTAACTACTATTCACAAATACCAAGCTCTCACTGTGGCAAGTAACAAAATATTCTAACAACAAATAGTGTAAGACTGTTTGTGGTTTAAAAAAGGATAATAATATTCGTGGTGCTACTTAATTTGTCAGCACCTATGCAGCACCTGTTCTGTGGCAGGTACTATACCAGATGCTGAAATAGTTGCTATGGTGATCTTGTGGTTAAGGAGTTGTACTGCTAACACAAAGGCAAGTGGTTCAAATTCACCAGCTGAGGGAACAACAATGGACAATCTTCTCTTCCCACGTGATTTCTGCTGGAGGGTTAGTTATCAGTCAATTCTGACTTGATGGCAATGAGTTGTTATTTTTTGGTTTTTTAATAATTGGTTGGCTAATTTTTTTTGTTAAAGGCATTATGTGTGTCTGCGATTTTAAGTAATGAAATACAATGAGATTAGATCTATGAAATGACACTTTCCTTCTCAAGAGACTTTGGAAGTGAGGGAAACAGCTAGCTCTTTATCTATGAAATGTGTCCTTCGCAATTATTCTTCCTCCTTTATTCCATCTATATCTTGGAACTATATAATTTAGTTTTGAATCTTAAACAGGCACTAATAGCTACAACAATTACAGCAATTACATGTTAGATTTACAAAATCACTTTTCTTTTAAGAGAACAAGTTTTCTTTTTTTATTATTATTAAATTTTATTAGTTTTAATGAACATTTACAGGGATTTTGGGTTTTCATTCCTTCATTGCTGCACCATTCTCTCTACCCTCCTCCCCAGTTTGTTCTTCTTCCCCGCCATCTGA